AACGGTTGCCCCAGCGGAAGATAATTGTTCAAGTTGCCTGGTTGCTGGTGCAGCTGTGCTTGTTGCTGCAGTAGCTGCGCTTGTTGATGCTGCAGTACTTCTTGCTGAAGTGCTTGCTGCTGTTGCAGCAAGGCGTCTGGTGATTGCTGGGCTGGACTCTGAGTGGCACGATTCGGTGAGTGCTCAAGAGTCATTTTCGTGGAAATTTGTATGTTATGGCACGTGGGTCAAAGGGGTGAGAATCTCGTACCAACGCAATCCGAAAAGATCACGTCGGGGTCACCATTTATAGATACGAAGACTTCACCCAATGAATAGTTAAGACCGCGCGTTTACTAACACTTATATATTTATTCAATTACTTCTGTGACTCTGAACAATAAAGAAAACTTAGAAAATAATATCGTTGTCTGCTACACGTGTGGCGTCAGTAAAAAGGCTTCGGTAAAAGTATTTGCTTTCGTGGCCGGCGTTGGTTTACCGAAGTGTTAGACGATTGCTCGTCGCGCCGCTGTCCGGATGGATCATGCAACATTTGAGGCGGGGTTGCCACAGAACCGCTGAGAGCAATTTTTCAAATTCTTGACGTTTGCAAGCAATTTAATTTTAAAATTTTACACACAAACTCACACACACAATAGTTGTGTTTTTTTACAAATTATCCAGTAACTTGCCAGCAACTCTCCAGTAACTTTATTTCTAAGAATTCGCTCTCATAGAAAAAATTTGCAATAAAGTACGTGAACGCTTTTCCAGTAATAATTTGCAAGTTTCATGAACAGCTGATAAATTGGTTGTTTATTTGCAGCAAATTCCTAATAAAACAATATATTTTGTATTTAAATAGGTTTATTTTGTGAAATTCAACAATAAAAACCCACAAACAGTTTCCTTATTAGTTTAAATTTCATCCAGAAACATGCGATCAGCTGTTTTTCGTACTGGTAAATTCTTACAAGTAAAAATTTATCCAGTAAAAACTTACAACTTCAACTGTCATTTTTCTCTCTCAATTTCCCCTACTTTGGAAGTTTTTGCGTACGAAAACGCCAAAACATGAAAATTCGTAAAAACTTTTACTGGATTTTACTAAAAATGAGTAAAAAAACGCAACTATTCTCATTTGCAATCTCAAACAACAACAACAACTTTGAACACTTCCTTTTTTTACTCTCAATTTTATACGATTTTAAAATGTTGGCAAACTTCCAAAAAAAAATCATGGCCGACGCATTGAGAGAACGGTTTTACCTTACTATGCTTTTATCATGGTAGCAAACACGGGAGTTCTCGCGCTGCTGTCAAAGCGACGCCAGCGCCAAGGCAACGCCACAATTGTATGTAGAAGGGCATTTTCGCGTGGGCTTTGGCGTTGGCGTTAGTTTGACAGAACGCGTGTTAAAAGCATGCTTGCTACAAGGAACGCTTGTCAAATGCTTTGCCCACTAAATTAAAACACCAATGCCGAATTTCCACTAGGCATTGAAACGACAAACAATGTATGGCATTTAAAAAAATGCCATGTGGAAATGAACTTAATGAATATTTTTTTAATGCAATGGCACGATTATTTTTTAATGCCTGACTTTATCATTTGGCACTTTTGCCTTATAATGCCTAGTGGAATTCCAGCATAGCCACAGATAAATTAATATTTGATATCAATAATTGTATTAAAAATGATATTTCTTGTCCGTATTTGATTAAAAAGAAAAACATTTCACACAATTTTATTCATTGTAACAGCTGACGAACGACGCACGCGAAAAGTTGAGAGTCGGCCATGTTGTTGCTTTGTGTCGGCGTTAGCTACGCCGAATTTCGGCTATGTGGACGGCTGGATTTGAATTCATGTATTCATAGTCAACGATTGATGCGACGCCCACGTAACGCCAAAGTTGTATGAGGATGGGCCTTTATTAGCAAATAATGCGTGCGTATAAACGAAATAACAGTTTCTTAGTCCCCTTTCAGACACGTCAAGTCTTGAAAGCAATTTTTCCCGCATTCTCTTTTGTGTTTTCTATTTTCTTCCAGACGCGTCAACTTCTATTAAATTCCAGTTTTTCGTTCTTTCAATGGGAAGCAACGAAAAGATACAAAGAGACAAGAAAACTTGAAACGAATTGACGGTACGGAGGTATGTGTACTCTTCCCCTCTCTTTTCACCTCCTTCGCTTTGGAACAAGCTGACTTGAAGCAAGATTTGACGTGTCTGAAAGATGACTTAACATTTTCTTAATAAATTCTTCTAATATATCATATATTTTTACAATTTGACCTAGTTAAACTGCGTTCCTTACCGAAAAATTGATAATGAAAAAAAATTGTCTGGTTTGTCAGTTTCTTGTATCCTATAATTTGGATTTGTTTGGTTTTACGTAGCATAAATCATGGCATTTCATTTTCTATGCTTGGATTAAACCGGTATACCCTAATGTGGCGTTATCGATTTCTTATGGTAGAATCTGGCAACGCTTTTTGTTCGACTTTCGTTTCTCAGTCAATATTTTCATTTTGGTTTCGAGCGGGGCATATTAAAAGAAATTGGAATCAATTTCGCTTATTCGCTTTTCAAAGTTCTTTTTTTTAATAACAAAGCTATGATTTCATGTTAGCTTTTAAAGATCAAATATTATACTGGAAAATTAAGCATACGTCGGCTCAGCTTCATCTAATCTGCACATATCGAAGTACGTATTAATGCAATCAGTTTTGTTTTCTTTAGACTGATGCAAGCGTTTGTGAGATCAGGGCCGTCGAAAACATGAAGACTTCCAACTACCTGAAGGGAAGTCATATGTTTCGCAAGACTCGAATTATACATATTTCCTTATGTACGTATATACATAAGTACATATCTATGTTAATTAAGAGCAATTTATTTAACTCGTTTGTTTATTTGAAATTGCAAATTATTTCAAACCGATCATATAAAGTATAAATATTTATAATCTATAGAAATAATGCACAAAAATTGTATCACCGCGTTAAACAACAAACTAACCAACATAAATTGTTTGTGTCAAAATTCACAATGTACTTTTGCAAAAACCTGGTAAGTTCTTAGTTGGATGTTAATAGTTGAGTTCCAGATGCTTCACGATTTGCAGGTTTTTACAGGAAGTCGTTCCAGGTGACCACCTTCCATAAGGTTTATTAACCCTCTATGAGGCGTATGGGTTCTAATCACGCGGTTAGTCGCGTGGATTACAATAGTAGTCCAACTTCTTTGGCTGCTATAATATTTTATTTAAACAAAATTTTTATATTTGTTTCCAATAAATGTTTATTTATATTATTTTATACGGGTTGGGTTTAGTAGCGGCGCCAACTATTTCGGGCTATTCCGTCCACACACTTGTAGTCAAGGGTCTACCCATTATTTTAGGACCTACTTTTGTAATTTTTGCCCCGTAATATATTTAGAAATTTGGTTTGAAGTATTGTCTTTTTTGTAAAATTCTCACTGGAGCGGCAGCCCAAGGTTTACCACGCAGAAAGGGAATTACAGTTATCTCATCCTTTCCCAAGGCTACATCACTGGGGCGGTAGCCCCAGTTGGTGCACACCAAAAGGAGAATTCTATTTGGTAAGGATTATAATCCTAAAGCGCGGCCAGAGGCCGCCTACGCAGAAAGCAGGTCTATTCTAAAATACTATCATATTGCTTCTTCAACAACTATTTTTAATTAACTTTTTTTTATTCAAAATCGCCCGATATCCAACTTGGCATAATTTCTTTTATTCAAAAATCCCACGTGTTTCTGTTAGTTTCTGCTCAGTTTGCCTAAGAAAATACCTGGTTTTCCCCATTTTCAAACGGTTTCCTAGGGGGCTGTGGGAGGATAGGGGGACGCCTTTTTAAGAAAGTGGGACTGTCCTCTTTCTAGTGGGCGGTGATTTGGGGGCCCGCCCTTCCCCCTCCGCCCCACCCCAAAAACGATCGGTCAGCTACTAAGCATTTCCCTTTTATACGTCTGGAATATATTTTGACTTTGGTTTTATCTAATTTTTATGACAGGCAATGCGTGTTGTTTTGAGCCGTTTAATAGAAGGTTCTTAAAAATTATTGCAATTTCAAAGTATGCAATAAAAATAGCATAAACAAGCGATGCTCTCATCTCTCATATGATACTTACATGCATATTTATTTACCACGATTGAGAGAAAATGTATTCTATCATTCTTGCATATTTACTACGTGTTTGGAAAATTTTTCTTGTGGACTTCGCCGAAAGCAATTTTCTGGCATGTCGGCTGGTGGAGGCTGTAAATCTTTTCTATACCAAGTAGATGCCGTCCTCGACGCTCAACTTCTCTTGACATAATTAGTAATCGGTGTTCAGTTTGCAGTTTTACTAGCTCCCAAGCAATAATTTCCAAACTATAAAACAATTAAGCTTATCTTCATCTTCTTCATCCATAGAACTATCTTCTGTTTCCAAAGGTATCTTTTTTGCATCAGACATTTCAATTTCCATGTAAAACAACATAACTTTCTCTATAGAGAAATAATTGTTGTACATAGTGAATAGCCTTAATATTACTTATGAAACAAAGTTAAATTCTTAGATATGCGAAAATAGCCAAATACAAAACAAAAAGTAAATGTTAATTTAAGGAAACACTGAAATGTATAGACCCGAAATCGTTTGAATTTGCATTACAAAAAAGTCATAAAATTCAATGCTAATTCAAAATGAGCAAAGTTAATTTTTTTTTGGAATTAAGATTTGTTTTTTGGAATTATAAAACTTATCTCAGTGTTCAAACAGACAAACTTACAAATTGTGCACTTGGCAAAAAATGTTACGTAATTAGTAGAGCTCTTGATATTCGATTAATCGAATATTCGAATTATTCGAATATGATGCTATTCGAATAGTAAAATTCGATTAGCAGTATTCGAATAATCGCACACCATCGATTATTCGAATAATTGATCGTTTTCAATTATTCGAATAATAACTGGTGCGCGATTATTCAATTTTTGAAATATATGTAGCTATGTATACATATGTATGTACGTAAACATTTAAATAAATTGAAATGTATGAATGAAGTGAAAACGATACAAAAATAAAATACATAGATTGTGTATAAACCTGTAAAAAAGCAGAGAGAATAATTCGTTAGAAATAGATGTCTATGTTGTCTAGGCATTCCTGGTGTATCAAAATGACAATTCAAAAAATAATTATCAAAAAAAAGAAAGTACAATTCAAGGCGAATTTATATAAGGCGGTGTTACTAGCTCAGCTGATTTTATGTATGTGTTTCGCCGCACGGCTTCTGATATCAAATTGAAAAATTTTGTTTGAATTTCTACACACACTCTTACAGATTTTGACAGTTTATGCCACCAAAGCAAAAACAAAATACATGTAAATTTTTGTTTTTGTACTCCTGCTATCTTCTTTTTTGGCGCTGTAACCGCCTAAGCGATTTTGGCCGAGTTC